TTTTTTACAACATAAAATAAAATAATTAAGGTCGCCCCCCCCCCCCCGCCCAAAATGCCAAAAATTCAATGTTTTTGGAGATTTTTCAAAAAGATTTCTGAAAGCCCTAATAAGAAGACTAACTATCTGACAATCCTAATATATTTTTTTATTTTCTTATATAATTCACATCATAAAAAAATATCTGACACACAACCGTACAAAAAATATATATATTAAGGTGCTTTCTCAAAAAAATTAAACAGCAAGAGAGAAAAAAATATATAATTCAATCTTCATCACTTGATGCTATTTGTCTACGAAATTTTTTTGTTTGTTCTCTATTATTTTCATTATTATCCTCTTCATCGCTTAATAATGACGAAAAATGTCGAACTTGTTTTACATTGGATAATGGTTTTGTTGGCGGAATGATCACGCTCAATGTTTCATCTTCATCATCACTATCATTTTCTTTCAATAGTTTTCGGGGATCTTGTTTTTTCTCTCTCCTTTGTAATGCATCATTTAAAAGTTCAACATGTTTCCGTGCAGATGTTAAACGGTCATTCCATATCCATCTATTATTAATAATTGAAAAATTCATTGTAGCTAATAATTCATTAATCAAATTATTTTCATCAAATTGATCATCGATAACTATTCGTATATGATCAGTATCACTGTCATTTATTTTCTCTTCAAATTTTATTTTAATCATTTCAACAATTTTTTCATTTCCATTTTGTGCTAACATTGACGCCGTAAAATAAATGACACTATTTAATTCATCTGGATCATTCTTTTCATCTTGTGTTTGTTGTGTAAAATTGTTAATACCGTTAAGTTTCAGATGATTTGTTTCATCAATTGTATCTGTCTCATCTTCTACATCTGTTTCATCTATCCATTCGTCCTTACGATCAGTATCACTCAAAGATTCATCTATGTCAGATGTTGTTCGTAATGGAGATAATTGTTTATTTTCATCATCGGGTACTTCAGTAAAGAGATCAAGATTTTTTTTTCGAGACTTTTTGCCTTTTTCACTTTTTTCTTTCTTCTCTTTACGTATGCGTCTAAATAGAAAAAGAGCATGCTACGATCAAAAAAATGACAGCAATAGGAGCTACTAGCCATTTCAAAACAGAAGAACCTCAGTTGTGTAAATAGTTCGAGAACGAAAAGAACTAGTATAGGGAGGATATAAGAACACACGATTTTCGAGCGCTGTACGTCATCGTACAAAATCGTGGACGTTTACGATCTTTATGTTCAAACTATGTTTCAAATAGACTAAAGTGTCCTTTTCAATCCTATGTAAGTTGACTTTTGTATCTATGACGATTCTCCAATGACAGGCATTTTGCTGTAACCTCAGAAGTGACTCTGAACATAGGTTACCGACAACGATGAATCTTATTTCATTTGTTGGTTATTTATTGAAAATTCTAAACGCTCCGAGAAAACTTCTCTTAGACGAAATAATTAATTTTAATCTATTCATATTAAGTCCTTAGGATCAGAATTGACGATTTTTGTCAAAAATATCAATTTCGAGAAAAGTACATGAAGATACAGTCCCAAGTGTCCTCGTTCAAATGTACTAATTTTTATTCTCTGAACAACATATTTTAGTGGGTTTCCAGAGGAAACAGAAAGTGTTATCGTTCTTCTCGAAGCTGTTTTTTTGCTTGGCGAATGCCATCATCCCGCACATTTCTCCATAATGAAAAGTCAGAAGTGACTCATTTTTCTTTTAAACTGAAGTTAAAACATATGGGAACTACGTAAAAGAGCTCGATTTTTGATTTGGTCTACTACTATTCTACGTTGTTGGAGATTATATGCCAGTTTCTTAGCTTTTTTAACTTAGCTTAATTTGATATTTTGAAACCTACCTGTGGTTTCTAAAAGGAGATATCTGCCGCACGGTAGATGCTCCATCTTAACCGTTATCGGAGCGACACCTGTTGAACAAACGCAGGTAGAGCCTTTGAGCTTTTATCATAACTATTCCTCGACATGATCAATATCCCTGAAAGTCTGGTCTAGATTCGTCTTGTAGGTACCGAAATAGGATTCTGATCTATGAGAGCCTTAAAAACGAAAAATTTCAAAACAGGTTCAAAACACTTCAGAACATCAGCATATACTTTTATTTTAGCTACTTTATATGACATTCCGGTTTAACATACACAAAGAGTCTACGTGTAGTTCTGCAGTTTTTCAGAAAACTTTTAAGATTCAAGACGTCTATAAATGTAACGTGTTACGAATTTATGAAGGTGTAATGGAGCTAAAACGGATGGAATTGTTGAGAATAGGTTACAACTTAAATCAATCATGTACTCACTTTGATGACAATTTTAATTCTTTAACATTCTGAATTAACTGTAGACATTTTAATTCTTTTATAATTTGTTTTCTTGTTTTATTTTTACAACTAAAGTCTCTCATTATCTGATCGACTATATCTCCATTTTCATCTAAAAAGAATAATACTTTATCTCCAATGTTGATAGAGTAAAAATGACTTACGATTTATATCATTTGAATTCAATTTAATTTTTAAAAATAAATCTTTTAATTCATCTTGCTGTTCTTCTGTCCATGCTACATTTCCTCTAAAAAAATTTTCTTTATATTAATAACATTTTAAATTTGAATTTAATTTTCTCACTTGTCTGTCAAAGGTTTGTGACCATCGAGTAATTCTTCTATAACACTTCGATCTTTCCAAAATAATAGCTCACCATAAATTAATGGATTTTTTTCGATTGTTGAAAAAAATTTTCGTAATAACCATTTACTAAATTGAAAAAATTCCTGAAATATAAATAAAACTCTATATAAATGAAAAAAATAAATGATATTTTACTTACTGTATATTGTTCACATTTAGCTAATGGATCAACATAAAAATTTTGTATAATACGAAACAATGACATTTGAAAGAGTATTCCAGCATAATCACAATCAATTGATATACGATAAAACATTCGAATTATACAATGATTTAAATATAATGAATTTGTTGAATATGACTTTAATATATCAATATACGAACATAGCACATTAGAATGAGCGAAACTAAAATAGAAATAAAACATAAATCATAAATATGATTTATTTTATTCAGACACTTACCACATAATAAACCTTTTAATATCAAACTCTTCTTCTCGTTCAACAATATCCGTTTCTTCTTCTTTTATTCCTTCTATATAAAAATATATTCACTCTAAAAGCTTGTACTAGTTTAGAAGTCCATATGTATACCTTCATCATGTTGTTCTTCGTCATTAATATCCTGAATTTCATCCTTTGCATTCGGTGATTGTGGGAGAGGAACTAAAATGGTAAAATATGCCCTATGAAAACAAAAACATTTGATAATTCTGCACAATAAATATACCATTGATTTTTGACATAAAAATTTCACGAAACAAATTAAATTCTTCTTCGGAATCAATTCCATCGAAACCAAACGCCGGTTCTTGTCGCCATACTTCTCTACAAACAAAAATATCAATGTTATAAACTCTTTGGTCTAAAATGGAATTTTTAAATACAAAAAGATGCAAATCTGGTTATTGTAAGAGCCTTACGCTAATTAGGATTTATTATCCATTTCGAAATATAAGACCTGTGGATGTTTTTTTAATAAATTTTGTCTTCTTCATTCGAAAGAATAAGACTTGGAAAATATTTCCATAAGTAGCAGTCGTTTCAGAAGGATTTGTTAAAATAGGTTTCCAGGAGTTCTTTCGGAAGCCCAGTTGTGTCTCTTCCAATGGGATTAAATTGATTTCTTTTACGGATTGATAGCCCAGGGTGTGCTCTTCAAGATGGGGGTTAAGCGAGATTTTGACTTTTAGTGATCTGGGTATCATATCGAATTTCTTTGGGATCCAAGAACTGGTGCTCCGCGACTATAGATAACCTCAGAAATGGGTGGACTATACGTAGTCAATCATACTGAGTCTTGTAGTAATATTTGTTTTTAAAAAAGTGTTTTAAAAACTAAGGAAAGCCACTTTTTTTGATTAACAAACTCTTCTGAAAAGACTACTACTTATGAAAATATGTTTCAAGTTTATTCTTTCGAATGGCGAAGGCAAAATTTATTCAAAAAATATCCACAGATCTTATATTTCGAAATGGATAATAGTTTTGAATCATGTACCTTGATGCACGAAAGAGCGCTACTGCTTCGTCAATATTTTTCATTCGCATCGCTTTCTGAATACGTCCAACAGCAATAATACTAAAATTAAACAAAAAAGTAATCTCATACACATAAAAAATATTAATCGAACCTTTGATCATCAACTGGTATAATTGATAGTGGATCAAAGGGTGATATTTCTGTATGTGATATTTGTAATTCTTGTATGCCTTGAAGTAAACTTGATAATTGTCCAGCGACATTTTCTTCCCAATCACGTTCAAGTTCCTCACTATTGGGTTCATCCCTTGACATTTCTAAAGCATAAATTGAATAGAAATACATGAACTAAACAACAATGTTGATAATAAAAATAATTACCAACTGTTGTTTTTGTTTTTGTCGAACTTTTCTTTGTTACCGATTTCTTGTTTTTTCGTTCTCGTTTACGTTTTTGTACAAATAAATGTTTTCCATTCGTTGTATGTTCTTCGAGTAATTTTAAAAATTCATGAGTACTTTCAATTAGATTACGTAAATATGTACTACAAAAAAGTAATTAGTTTACGATATCTGTTTTAAAAAAAAATAATTAAACGTATACTCGCTCATTTTTGTATTATCAAACTCTTTTAAAAGATTTAAAATTTGTTCACGATATTCTTGTACATAAAATATCTTATCTAAAATACAAAATATTCCCAATTTTGCACTTTCATTTAACGTTATTGTTATACTACTTTTCATTATGTTTGCTGCTCGTCGAATTGATTCGTCTGAATTTGCTAGCATAGCTTTTATACATAAAATATATTCTTTAAATGCACTAAATGCAATTTGTAGCCTAGAAAAGAAAAAACGCGATAAAAATGCTTTGGTTTCGCACAAAGTGTTACCTTTTCCCCCATAGTTTCGAATCTTTTTTATCAACTTTAATCATTTCACGATAATGATCTATTTTTGTATGTATCAGATGAAATGCATTCATTTGCATTGTTTCACTAGAAGAAAAAATGACATAAAGTTTAGATTATGTATATTTATTTGTTAATCACTTGCCTAATTCGATCGATTGTTTGATGTGAGTAACGATTAAATTCCGTAAAAAAGCATATTGCCCAAAAGAAACTTGTTTCATCACTAACTAAACATGTTGATTTCACAATCATTTTCTAAACATAAACTTGACAAGTAGTACATAGATAGAATACATTTTGATCTAATTTTCTTACTCTCGCTTGTGCCATTAGTACGTTATAACAATTGTCAAGAAATGATACACAAAATTCTTTCAGAAATAATCTTATACTTAATGCAGAATGATGATTAACATCAATTTCCTAAAAGAAATTAGAAATAAACACTGGAACAGTGGTATTAGTCTACTCACTTGTTTCATCGGTGCACGATTTTTTGGTTTACGAACACGTTTTTTTTCACGATCAAATTCAATTGCATTCATACTTTGTAAAGGACGATGACATATCAATTGATTTTCACCAATACCTTTAGCATTTGAAATTACATAAGTAGCACCACCTAATACTGAGCGGCTTTCAATAAAAACCAAATCATCGAATAACAAAACCTAATTGGCACTTAGTTTTAGATTTACCTTGTCGTTAATTTTAACATTTGTTGTTTTTGTGTGGATTCTCGTTCATACAAAACGGCTAGTGCACTGAAACAAACACGTTGATGAACATATTAGCAAACTAAAATTCTTTTTTCTCCTACTCATTATCTTTTTCTCGTTTGCTCTTTGTTTGCTGTTCACCGGCACGTGCTAGTTCTTCGGCTGACTTCGAAAAAGGATAATAGCATAGAACATTGAGTTTGCTTTTCCTACTGAACTAAACCAACCTGTTCTCTTAACATAAAAACAACAATTTCTAAGATATTCATAATACGTTCATCACTTTGAGTATTATTTCCAATGTAAAGTAGTAAGTCTTCCATTCCACTCGTATGAATAGACCTAAAAAATATGAAAATTTAGTTATTCACTTGTACATTTTAACCCTAAGCCACTAAGTATTCATAGTGATTTACCATAAAACAAGATCATGAGCATCAACATCATTTTCTTCGGACGTACGTTCTGGTCGAATTGATAAAATATTACGTACACATGTAAAGACAGCATGTAATATAAAATCATCATCGTCTGTTCGATCGAGCCATTCCTATGTTCGAATTTTAGGAAATATATTCAAAAAAAAAGTGGCAATCAGTTACTTTTTCTAACACTGGTCGTAATTTATTGACCATACATTGAAACAATTTTTCATTAGCCAAGTGCTAAAAATAAAAATTTGTTAAAAATGAGAATTATTATTGATAGAGAAAGCATACGTACAGTTTTTGCCTTTTGTAAATAATTTTCTATGTTCAAATAAACGTTTATTAACGTTACATCGCTTGGTAGTTTACCTTCGAAACAAACCAACGGTGGTTTTGTTAAATTGACCAGTAGTCTACAGCGAATATGAAAAGAACGATTGAATTTAAGTCATCTCAAATTAAATCCACAAACCTTACTTAAAAGTTAAATTAACAGTTTTTGTATCATTGTCATTGCCTAAATAAACTAGTATTGGTATCAAATCGTTTTCAATTATTTTTGACTCTAACATTTGAATTCTCGAATCTTTTTTCTCATTTTCAAAACGTAGGCAACGAATCAATACACGTAGAGCATCTAGAAACAATAAAAGCTTGCTAGTTTATAAAACAAATTGATCTTGTCTCATGTTACCCTCGCAATCTTCATCTTTTAAATACGATTTTCCATCATAATAACCTAGTGCACTACATGCCGATTGAATTTGATTAAACGATGACATTATGAAACATGAAATCTAAAACGCAACAAGCAAGAAAGTGTATAAGCTTAACCTTATTATAGGAAAAACACATTGCAGTGTATCCTACGGTATATGCTCCTATCAAAAAATGAATAGTGAAGATAAAACATACAGATTGTTAATACTCATTCATGACCAGGTGAAAAGACAACTTTCGAAAAATGAATATTCAGCTTCACTCAATGCTTTATTCAGCTGGGCTGTTTAATTTTGTTTCAATGTTTAGCGAAGCTGAAAAGGCGACTTTTATACTTTTTGCTTGGACTTAGGTTGAAAGTTGGGATACTTATACAGAATAATTATCTTTGATTCACATTCTTACAAACACTTACACCACAGCATGGATGGAATATGCTAATTCTGTATAAGTTCTTTTCGAGTTCATTCAAGTCTTCACAGCGGAATGTTACTCTTTCGCTTCAAACGCTCAATATGTCCCAATGCTACAGCCGAAATTTGTTGAACAATTCATATCAAATAGATCGGTAAATTGAGAGGATATGTTCAATGATACAATACATAACACGACTGATTTTTCTATTACATTTTACAAGAAGAAAGAACCGCTGAATTTTACATGGTGGCTTCTAACCAATTGTAATTATTAGGAGATGTCACTCAATGAAACAAAAAAATAGTGGATTCAAAGAGTCACATAGTTATCATATCCTTCCCTTTGGATATAGCCGATGACAAACAGTAACAGTCTAACCTGTACATTTCTATTTTTTAGCGAAAACTTAAAAGACATGTAACAATAGCACGTAACACTAGCAATAACTAATGTCTTAATTTTATGTTCTGCCTAATTTTAACCAGACTTGGCTTGCCTTGGCGGAAAAAATCTCAAGGGGTGACTTGACTTGGGAGAAAAAATTTTCCGACCTCGACCTGACTTGTGACTAGCAAAACTCCTGACTTGCCCAGCTCTGAGTGATGCCGATAAAAAAGCAGATATTTTGCATTTTCCTGTCCTTCGTGGTATCAATGAAAACCGTGTACTCATCGAGAACAGCATGAAAGCTAATCTTGGAAAGTGCTTTCAGCTTTAGGCACAAGTGCACGCGATCATGGATGGAAAATCATCTTTAATGGCGCTTCACTTCAACGATCTACTCACTCGTACCAATCCAGTAAACCAACAGCTTACCGAGCTCAAACGCGAAGAAAGTCGACATATGCTCATGATAGTTAGCTTGAAACACGATAAGATCAATCAGCAAACCGAACTTGATGTACTGGAAGCACAACAGCAAAAACTACTCCCACAACTACTCCACAAAAACAACTCCGGCAGACAGTTTGCTTATATTCTATCGCATCACAATTCCATCTTTCGTTGGACTCTGACATTATTATTCTGATCTGACGTTGAAACTATGGTTCCAATGAAAAAGTCGAGAAATTTCTAGAACAGCAACGATAAGCGGAAGTAGAAACCAAGTATTTTACGACCAAAATCCATCGCTCAGCGCTATTCGCAGCTGCAAAATTACCGATCTTTGCCGCGATGCACTTATGACCATTGAGAATCGCCAAGCATATCATCGGAAAAAAACTAAAGTTGGTTTTGAGCTGCTGAAAAGTGTTTTTTCGTATTCAGTACACTCGATAACTCGGAAGACTTTCTATTTTTGGCGAGAGATACTTCCAAACTTTAAGAAAAATATACAAACTAATATTATTTTCCCATGGAAAGTTTTCTGTACGATTTTGTTCAAAATTTGGAATCATTTATCCTAAACTTTTGGAAGTTGTCTCCTCGCTAATCTTCTCCGCCACTAATCTTCGGGGTTGTTAGTGTGCTGAATACGAAAAAGCACTTTTCAGCAACTCAAAACCAACTTTATTTTTTTTGTTCCGGTAATATGAGCGAAGTGAAGGAAGGCATTTCATAATAATTATGCCTGCATACTTATAATATAATTCGATTAATCATTTATTATTAATAATAAAAAAAATTAATAAAACAAAAATTTTTTAGATCTCTATCTCCCATTTGAGAAACTGTCATACTACTATACTTGCTTATACTGTACATCAAGAGTGGATCCCTACCCTCAAAATGTAGCAAATTCTAGAAATTACTAGGAAATTATCGAAATTTCTTCATGGATAGTTGTACAAATATACATAAAGAGGCGACCCCTAGACCAAGAAATGTAGGAAATTATAGAAATTACCAGGAGATTTCGGTAATTTCGGAAATCATCAGAAAATTACCGAAATTTCTACATGGAGATAGAACCACTCAAAAAAGACTGTGCTAGTTTCTGAAAAATCGTTTTCTATATCTACTTTGCGACTCGTGCGTTTTGTCATAGGTTCATTCTTGGACAGCTATGCTCAAGGAAGGAATAATTTCGAACTTATTCTGTGTATGTAAATCTTCGCAGCTATGTATAAGCCAGAATATGAAACAAAACGGTAGTTTAAGAATTATCAAGAACTCAAGAAATTTCAAGGCGGTCAAGATGTTGGGTTCTTGGAATTTCTTGCATTACCATTACTTACGTTTTTTTATCAAGATCTTGTTTACAAGAAGTTTCACTAAGGCTGCTTTAGAAATCTGTATATCTGTCTAAAAATCAGAGCGATAGAATATGCTTGATTTGTCAGGTAGTTATTGGATAAATTAAGTTAAATGGTAGCATTTGAGATTGTATCCATTGCGTTGTGTAATTTGTTTATTAGTGGAGATTCAATCAGAATCTGCTAGCATAAATTGATTAACACCAAACTTAATGTGACTTTTTCTCGATGATGATGTGTTTTTCGTTGAAACAGTTCCATTCATCGAAGTACTCTCTTCCGTAACGTTCATGAACGTTTCCCTAATGGTGTGTGCATTTGATAAGTGGTCATTACCATCGTTTGCAGTTGCATGTTTCGTTTGTACATTAATTCCATTTAAAATTGGATTCGATTCACTACTCCTTTGATCACTTTCTCGTAAGTTATCTTTTAGAAATTGACTAAATGGCAGAGCAGACGACTTGAAATTCACACGAGAACTAATGGGACTTTCGGTGCGATGGATTTGATCCAGTGCGTTTCTTCTTGTATCATTCAAAAACTGAAAAGAACAAACTCTGATCACGTTTTAACTAATCAACAACTACATCTATTTGGTTTAGGAATAAAGCAACAAGAATACTACAAATTGTACTGCTAATTTGACAATTGTTGCCATATTGGATGCTAATTCTTGTTAGGCGTATTTATGAATCGAATAAACTGTATCTAAATATGTAACAAAAGTGAGATCAACCCTATAACTTTCAAAATGCTTTTTAATACCAGATCATCAACCGTTTTTACATGATTTCGGTTCATCTGGATGATATGGTTTACAAAGGAGGGAGCATGTTAACAGGCAAAATCTGCCCTTCCTTGAATTCACGGGTTTGAATGTACTCTACATTCGAGAGTAACAATGGCATCGACTTAGCCCTTAAAAACTGCTTATTATATGAGTTTTGCCACTTCGAATTTTACTTCTTCCGACAGCCTCATTCAATTTG